AAACCTTCACCTCTCTCTTCCCTGATGCTTCTATTCTCCTTGTATCCCATCTACCTTTTACTCTCAGTGTAGCTACAACTAGAAAGTGATCTGATATATCTGTGGCCCCTCTATAAACATGTACATCCTGAAGTCTACTCAACAGTCTTTTATCTACCAATACATAATCCAACAAACTACTGTCATTTCGCCCTACATCATATCGTGTATACTTATTTATCCTCCAATACGAGTTTTCTTTGATTTTATCTTAATAGTTCTTGTTCTTTTTGTTTTTCCTTTTATATCCATGGAGAAGCGGAATAAGAATCTTTCCTCCGTAAGCCATGCATGTTGTAAAAGTCTAAAATGCTGGGAGCAATGGGCTAGTAACCCCTTTTCCCGTATGGCCTACTAAAAAGAAAAAGAAGAAAACAGTCAAAGTGGGATGTTTGAATGTGTGTCGATGTTGTGTGAATGATAAGAATGAGATGATTATGGATGTAAGGAATGAGAAGCTGGATGTCCTGGCTTTAAGTGAAACAAAGCTGAATGGGGTGGGAGAGTTTCAGTGGAGAGAAATAAAGGGGATAAGGTCAGGGGTTTCAAACAGTTAGAGCTAAAGAAGGAGTAGCAATAATGTTGAAGGATAAGTTATGGCAGGAAAAGAGGGAATATAAATCTATTAATTCAAGGATTATGTTGAGTAAAATAAGGGTTGGATGTGAAAAGTGGGTTATAGTAAGCATTTATGCACCTGGAAAAGAGAGAAATGTAGAGGAGAGAGATTTTGGGAAATGTTGAGCGAGTGCATGGGGAGTTTTGAACTAAGTGTGAGAGTACTTGTGGTTGGGGATTTCAATGCTAAAGTGGGTAAAAATATTGTGGGAGTAGGTAAATTTGGGGTGCCAGGGGTAAATGAAATGGGGAGCCTTTAATTGAGCTGTGTAGAAAGAGGTTTGGTAATAAGTAATACACATTTTATGAAAAAGAGGATAAGTATACAAAGTATGATATAGCATGCAATGAAAGTAGTTTGTCAGATTATATATTGGTGGACAAAAGGTTGATTGGTAGGCTTCAGGATGTACATATTTATAGAGGGGAAACTGATATATCGGATCATTATTTAGTTGTAGCTAGTTAGAATAAGAGGTACATGGGACAAAAGGAAAATAGCTACAGCAAGTAAGAGATGAAAGTGTATAAACTAAGGGAGGAAGAAGTTAGGTTGATATAAGCAACTACTGGCAGAAAAGTGGACTAGTGCAAGAATGAGTAGTGGGGAGGGTTGAAGAGAGTTGGAATAGGTTTTAAAAATGCAGTATTAGAATGTGGGGCAGAAGTTTGTGGCTATAGGAGGGTAGGTGCAGGAGGGAAGAGGAGTGACTGGTGGAATGAGGAAGTAAAGGGTGTGATAAGAGAAAAAGGTAGCGTATGAGAGGTTTTTACCAAGCAGAAGTGTTATAAGAAGAGCAGAGTATATGGAGAGTAAAAGAAAGGTGAATAGAGTGGTGAAAATGAAAAAGGAGAACAGATGACAGAGTGGGAGAGGCATTGTCAGGAAATTTTGAGGAAAATAAGAAAAAAAAGTTTGGAGTGAGACAAGTTAAGAAAGCCTAGGGAACAAATGGATTTGTCAGTTAAGAACAGTAAGGGAATTAGTAGATGGGGAGATGGAGGTTTTGGGTAGATGAGAATATTTTGAGGAACTTTTAAATGTCGACGAAGAAAGGGAAGCGGTAATTTCATGCACAGGCCAGGGAGGTATACCATCTGTTAGGAGTGAAGAACAGGATGCGAGTGTGGGGGAGGTGCGTGAGGTATTACATAGAATGAAAGGGGGTAAAGCAGCTGGAACTGATGGGATCATGACAAATGTTAAAAGCAGGGTGGGGGGGAAGGGGTGGATATAGTGTTGGAGTGGTTGGTATTTTTATTTAATAAATGTATGAAAGAGGGGAAGGTACCTAGGGATTGGCAGAGAGCATGTATAGTCCCTTTATATAAAGGGAAGGGGACAAAAGAGATTGGAAAAATTATAGAGGAACAAGTTTACTGAGTATACCAGGAAAAGTGTACAGTAGGGTTATAATCGAAAGAATTAAGAGGCAAGACAGAATGTAGGATTGCGGATGAGCAAGGAGGTTTCAGAGTAGGGGATGTGTAGATCAAGTGTTTACATTGAAGCATATATGTGAATAGTATTTAGATAAAGGTAGGGAAGGTTTTATTGCATTTATGGATTTAGAAAAGGCATATGATAGAGTGGATAGGGAAGCAATGTGGCAGATGTTGCAAGTATATGGGATAGGTAGTAAGTTACTAAATGCTGTAAAGAGTTTTTATGAGGATAGCGAGGCTCAGGTTAGGGTGTGTATAAGAGAGGGAGACTACTTCCCAGTAAAAGTAGGTCTTAGACAGGGATGTGTAATGTCACCATGGTTGTTTAATATTTATAGATGGGGTTGTAAAAGAAGTAAATGTTAGGGTGTTCAGGAGAGGGGTGGGATTAAATTATGGGGAATTAAATACAAAATGGGAATTGACACAGTTGCTTTTTGCTGATGATACTGTGCTTATGGGAGATTCTAAAAAAAAATTGCAAAGGTTAGTGGATGATTTTGGGAGTGCGTGTAAAGGTAGAAAGTTGAAAGTGAACATGGAAAAGAACAAGGTGATGAGGGTATCAAATGATTTAGATAAAGAAAAATTGGATATCAAACTGGGGAGGAGGAGTATGGAAGAAGTGAATGTTTTCAGATACTTGGGAGTTGAAGTGTCAGCGGACATATGGAGACAAAAAACGTTATCTATGGAGGCAAAGAAGGGAATGTATGAAAGTATAGTAGTACCAACACTTTTATATGGGTGTGAAGCTTGGGTGGTAAATGCAGCAGCGAGGAGACTGTTGGAGGCAGTGGAGATGTCCTGTCTAAGGACAATGTGTGGTGTAAATATTATGCAGAAAATTCTGAGTGTGGAAATTAGGAGAAGTGGTGGAGTTAATAAAAGTATTAGAGGGCTGAAGAAGGGTTGTTGAGGTGGTTTGGTCATTTAGAGAGAATGGATCAAAGTAGAATGACATGGAGCACGTATAAATCTGTAGGGGAAGGAAGGCGGGGTAGGGGTCGTCCTCGAAAAGGTTGGAAGGAAGGGGTAAGGAAGGTTTTGTGGGCGAGGGGCTTGGACTTCCAGCAGGCGTGCACGAGTGTGTTTGATAGGAGTGAATGGAGACGAATGGTATTTGGGACCTGGCGATCTGTTGGAGTGTGAGCAGGGTAATATTTAGTGAAGGGATTCAGGAAAACCGGTTATTTTTGTATAGCCAGACTCGAGTCCTGGAAATGGGAAGTACAATGCCTGCACTCTAAAGGAGGGGTTCAGGATATTAGCAGTTTAGAGGGATATGTTGTGTATCTTTATACGTATATGCTTCTAAACTGTTGTGTTCTGAGCACCTCTGCAAAAACAGTGATTATGCGTGAGTGAGGTGAAAGTGTTGAATGATGAAAGTATTTTCTTTTTGGGGATTTTCTTTTTTGGGTCACCCTGCCTTGGTGGGAGACAGCCGACTTGTTAAAAAAGTGAGAGAGTGAGAGAGTGAGAGAGTGAGAGAGTGAGAGTGTGAGTGTGTGAGTGTGTGAGTGTTGAGTGTGTGAGTGTGTGAGTGTGTGAGTGTGTGAGTGTGAGAGTGTGTGAGTGTGTGAGTGTGTGTGTGGTGTGGTGTGTGTGTGTGTGTGAGTGTGTGTGTGTGTGTGTGTGTGTGGGTGTGTGTGGTGTGTGTGTGTGTGTGTGTGTGTGTGTGTGTGTGTGTGTGTGTGTGTGTGTGTGTGTGTGTGTGTGTGTGTGTGTGTGTGTGTGTGTGTGTGTGTGTGTGTGTGTGTGTGTGTGTGGTGTGTGTGTGTGTGTGTGTGTGTGTGTGTGTGTGTGTGTGTGTGTGTGTGTGTGTGTGTGTGTGTGTGTGTGTGTGTGTGTGTGTGTGTGTGTGTGTGTGTTGTGTGTGTGACATTTCCCTGGATAATACAAGATGGAAAGAAGGTAGGATAATCAATAAGGCCTACTGGTAGGGAAACACTATACTGGATAGTTATCAGTTGTATGTGTTACATCAGAGCAAATGGAGGCTAATTTTCATGGCTTGACATGCTATTGTATAAAGAAAGGTAACAGTTAAGTAATTCTGGAACACTGTTTAGTTAGACTAGAGTCCTGGAGGATTGTGCCTGCACTCTGGAGTGGGAATGTTTGAACTGAAGTGTGATGTCTGCACATTTATATCAACAGCTATTGAATGATAGTGAATGCATTTCCTTTCACAGATCACCCTACTGCAATATCTGCATCAATGATAGTGTTTGAGACTGAAACTTCATAAACTTGTAACCCTATATGAGCATTTATTATGCCTCAACTTTCCCCACACGTCTGTTTTTAAACCAGTCTGCATAATTATTTCATATACATAAAGTTAACAACCATGGTGAAATACAATATTAGTAACAGTTGTGATAGATGATAGTGTGTAAAATTCAATTTTGAGAAAAATAAATTTAGAAACTTAAAACCCAAATTCCGATGACAATTCACTGAGGAGATTTTCAGAAAGAGTAGGCGAAGAGAAACCAGAAGACAAGGAAGAGAATATTGGAAGAAAAGTCACGAGGTGAGGACAGCCTCTCAGGTGAATCACACGTGGTAAAAAGACACTGTACAGTGCAAACCTTTGTTTGTAGTGACCAGCTGAAATGGATGCCAATGAAATATTCAGAGAAAGTAAAGCTACCAATGAACACTGAAGAAAAATGCAATAGTATCAGAAAAAAAAAAACACTAGGAGGATGTACAGAACTACACCATCCAGAAACAGAAAATGACATACTATAATATGCTTGTGACAGGTTTCGGGGGCACATCTATTCCCACAGATTAGCCTGGGGTCAGGCCTCCCTTTTGTGGGAATATTAATCATAGAAGAGACCATGTACAGTACATTTATTCAATTATCAAAGAAAATCTACCTGGGGCTTTCCCCTTGGACGGTGAGGGAGTGTAGTGTGTGGATGAGACTGATTTTTGCCTGGCTCGTCTGGGAGTCTTGACTGGTGTCCGGAAGCCTTCCCCATCAACACCGCCTTCCTCCAGCACCAACCGCCGTTTCACACTCTTTAAATAATGCCATAATATATTAAGTTGCCTCCTTCCTTAAAAATTAGTCTTCATTTTACTCGCTTCTTAAGATAAGCATTAAACATTTTATAGTAATCAATATGGTTTTTCAAGTAAAAATGGTATTATATACTTTCAACAAACCGGCCATTTCCCACTGAGGCAGGGTGGCCCAAAAAGAAGTTTCTCTATTTGAACTTTAGTAACGATAGGGAGCACTAAACCCATAGGGCTCACAGTTTGAGGTAATGGGAAGTCATTCAGTTCAGTCCAATGAAAGGGGAAAACATTTAATTCCTTTGATCCAGAGCCCTTCTATTGAGGGGAGTGAAAGTGTAGGCAGTTTGAATAAGCTTGGAAATGAGTTACAACTACTGTATAAAAATTAATGTTAAATTTGGCATGACACCTAAAATGTATCCATGGTGTACAACCTACATTTGTATGGCATATGTTCCTACAGCATTCATTTGAAATTTCAAAATGATGTATTTGTAATGTAACATACAAGCCAATGTGACCAAATTGCCAATCTAGGTAAGGTCATTTACTGGCAGATATGAACAAAATGCCATTCTAGGTATTGTCTCATTTATTGCCAACAGTGACCAAACTGCAATTTAAGTCTGTCTTATGATAAAGCACTACTATTGAAAATTTCAAAACCCAAACCATTTATGATTTACTGCCCAGAAACAATCTGAAGATTAATTAAAAAGTACATTACAATACAACCATAATTAATATTATGTACACCAAACTTAGTCACAAACAAGAGTACTTTGCATTTTCACTGCCCAAATCTCTAGAAAATGAAATTCTACCCAGTGATGATAAATACTATGGGGAAATTCCAGTATTAGCTTTTCATAGCATAAACAATTTAATAATACATTAATATACTTTAATTTTGACAGGAACAATTTTTATAGGATAAGCAACTAGGCAATGCTTATCTGGCTTAACAGGAATACCACCACTAATGTACTTTTATTGTAATATTTATATATTTTTTATTGTATTTTAAGTGTTAGGAGTCTGGTCCGACGAGTGCACAGACAGGCTATCAATTATGTACTTCTTTAGCCACTGAAATGTTGGTAGAGTTTGGAGTCTTATTGGAAAATTCCTTTGGGTTATTAATCTTGAGTCTAATCAATTGCTCTCTGAACAATCTTATTTTGATTCCGGTATTTTACCAATTTCCTAGCTGGTATAAGGGCAAGTTTAATCTCTTAAGCAGACCCCCCCCCCCCCATATTACATGTTTTGCCTTTTATTTTGCATACGAGAAAAACATTTTGGATTCCTTTCAACTTAAAAGCTTTATGGACTCCAATGCAGTTATAGCTCAATGTTTTCCAGTTCTCCATCATCATTTTTTTCTCGAGAAAAACTGGGACTTAAGTTCAAATTCTTTAAAACTTCTGGTTTAAACTCGCATTACTTATACCTGCGTATTTCAGCACGGTCATGATTGATATTTTTTTTATTAACACATCGACCGTCTCCCACTAAGGCAGGGGGGGGGGGCAAAAAAGAAAAACTTTCATCACACACTCAATCACTGTCTTGCCAGAGGTGCACTTACACTACAGTTATAAAACTGCAACCTTAATACCCCTCCTTTAGAGTGCAGACACTGCACTTTCTCATCTCCAGGACTCAAGTCCAGCTTGCCGGTTTCCCTGAATCCCTTCATAAATGTCACCTTGCTCACACTCCAACAGCATGCCAAGTCCTAAAAACCATTAGTCTCCATTCACTATCAAACATGCTCACACATGCTTGCTGGAAGTCCAAGCCCCTCACACACAAAACCACCTTTACACCCTCCCTCCAACCTTTCCTAGGCTGACCCCTTACCCCATCTTACCTCCACTACAGATTTATACACTCTTGAAGTCATTCTATTTTGTTCCATCCTCTATATGTCCACACCACCTCAACCCCTCCTCAGCCCTCTCACTTAGTTTTAGTAATCCTGCACCTCCTCCTAATTTCCAAACTATAAATTCTCTGCATTATATTCACACCACACATTGCCCTCATACATTCCCCTCTTTTGCTTCCATGGACAAAGTTCTTTGTCTCCATAGATTCCAAAGTGCACCACTCGCCTTTTCCCTCTCATCAATTCTATGATTAACCTCGTCCTTCATAGGCCCATCTGCTGACACGTCCACTCCTAAATATTTGAATACATTCACCTCCTCCATACTCTCTCCCTCCAATCTGATATCCAATCTTTCATCACAATTTTTTTTTTTTTTGTTAACCTCATCACCTTACTCATTCCTATATTCACTTTTAATTTTCTTCTTATACATACCCTACCAAACTCATCCACCAACCTCTACAACTTCTCTTCAGAATTAATTTGTTCCAAGTTAATTTGATCTGTTGGGTTGCCAAGGACCTATGTGTGTGCAGGTTGGAAATTCAAATAGGTTGAGGTCCATCTGAAACCATAGTGTGTTTTCTCATACTGAGTACACTACATATTACAGTACCTAAAATACTTATTAGCTATGTAATACATGCAGATAAAAAATAAAACCGAGGCAAATCACCTGTGTACGTCCTGGTGTGACAGTAGGAGATTCTTGAGAGTTGCTGGGTGTGATGGGGGTTAGACCATAGCCATGATCCAACAACTGTGTGTAGGTCATGCCATCACACACACTGAGGACTGTGCCACCCACCATTGACAACCCCCCAGAGGAAGGTGTCCCCACACTCTCCATAGCTTATTACACCTGCAAAACCTCTCTTGCTTCATTGTATGTTTATATGGATATTTATGAGGCAGAGCTTTCAGTATGAACAAGTATGCAATTTTACTTCTAACTGTCCTATTCAGTACAGAAAAGTACAAGATTTCTAATATTACTTTGCAGTATTTTAAATCTGAAATTCACCTTAAACATTTTGCAACATTTTTACCTGTTACATAATCATATCTGGTGATACTGCAGTTACTATAGGGTTATATATCAAACAGAAATAGTATTACACTATTTGATAACGTATTATCTAAAAGTAGGGTCATTTCTGTCATACGTGACATGCAGAGGATATACAGCATAGGCATGTTATACAGTATGGAACTAAAATGACCATCTCACAAAATAGCATTTATAACTTATTTGTTTAGCTCTAAATGACAAAATTATTCTACTATTTTGCAAATACTTATAATAACATTTGTAGACTTAACTCCTTTAATCAAAGTACATCTGCAGTCCAGCTGTCAGGTCAAATGTAATGCAGGTTGTCAATGTATGTATATGTGTATGTATATGTGTATATGTGTATGTATGTGTATGTATGTGTATGTATGTGTATATATGTGTATATATGTGTATATATGTGTATATATGTGTATATATGTGTATATATGTGTATATATAGTGTATATATATGTGTATATATATGTATATATATATGTGTATATATATGTGTATATATATGTGTATATATATATGTGTATATATATGTGTATATATATGTGTATATATATGTGTAGTATGATATGTGTGATATATGTGTATAATATGTGTAGTGTGTGTGTGTGTGTTGTGTGTGTGTGTGTGTGTGTGTGTGTGTGTGTGTGTGTGTGTGTGTGTGTGTGTGTGTGTGTGTGTGTGTGTGTGTGTGTGTGTGTGTGTGTGTGTGTGTGTGTGTGTGTGTGTGTGTGTGTGTGTGTAAGTTTTAGACCACAATATCCAAATATAATTAATTAATCATGCATCAAAGCAATTTATCTGCAAATTGGTCAAAAATATAACTCAATTTTTCTCAAGTCAGAATATTAATAATACCAGAGAGCATTCTGAAAGTGAAGTTGAAATAATAAATTTGGGGTTATAGATATTGTACAGATTTGCTAATAAACAACTGTCCATTCTTCTATTTATTCATATCAGTACTCTGCAAACGTTTTCAAACAAGAAACGTGGATAATTTAAGAAAAGGCACAATGCTAGATATAACAGATGGAAGGTGGAACCCCGAGTTTTGGCCGCCCTGAGTATCGGCCGCTCTGAGTTTAGACCACTTTTTTCAGCTAAATTTTGTCGTTTCACCCTGTGCCCCATGTTTTGGCCGGCGTACCAGACCTGTCCACCTGCCCACACAGGTGTAAGCCAGTCTAGCTTTGCTTATCCTTGAGTGAATATTAACCTCTGCACTCATCCAAATATTTCACAATACAGTGGACCCTCGACCAACGATGGCATTGTCTAACGTTAAATCCGACTAGCGATACATTTTAACGCAAAAAAGTTTGCCTCGACTAGCGTTAAAAACTTTACCAACACGATTCGTTCCGTCTGAGACGCGTCCACTTGTGGCCAGTGTTTACAAGCCAGCCAGCCAGCCACCGCGGTCCCATCCAAACACACAATCGGAACATTTCATATTATCACAGCGTTTTTAGTGATTGCACCTGCAAAATAAATCACCATGGGCCCCAAGAAAGCTTCTAGTGCCAACCCTACAGCAAAAAGGGTGAGAATTACTATGGATATGAAGAAAGAGATCATTGCTAAGTATGAAAGTGGAGTGCGTGTCTCCGAGCTGGCCAGGTTGTACACAAAACCCCAATCAACCATCGCTACGATTGTGGCCAAGAAAACGGCAATCAAGGAAGCTGTTCTTGCCAAAGGTGCAACTGTTTTCGAAACTGAGATCTCAAATGATAGATGATGTTGAGAGACTTATTGGTGTGGATAAACAAAAAACAGATAGCAGGAGATAGTACCTCTCAAGCGATCATATGTGAAAAGGCTAGGAAGTTGCACGAGGATTTAATTAGAGAAATGCCTACAACTAGTGGTGATGCGAGTGAATTTAAGGCCAGTAAAGGTTGGTTTGAGAGATTTAAGAATCGTAGTGGCATACATAGTGTGATAAGGCATGGTGAGGCTGCCAGTTTGGACCAAAAAGCAGCTGAAAAATATGCGCAAGAATTCAAGGAGTACATAGACAGTGAAGAATTGAAACCTTAACAAGTGTTTAATTGTGACACTGACAACGTTGTGAAACACTTTAGGAATGTCAAAGGAACGGGAGGTACAGGCCTCTATGGAAATGTATGTTGTGCGACATAAGTCCAGTGACTCAAGCTGGTCCTAGTGGCATTAAAAGAAGGGAAGTAACCCCAGAAAAGGACTTGACACAAGTCCTAATGTAAGGGGATTCCCCTTCTAAACACTAACACCATCCAGTCTCCCCTCCTCCCATCCCATCAATCATCACCAGATCTTCAATAAAGGTAAGTGTCATGTAACTGTACATGTCTTCTTCAGTTTGTGTTTTTTTTTTTTTTCCTCTCTCAACAAGTTGGCCGTCTCCCACCGAGGCAGGGTGACCCAAAAAAGAAAAAATCCCCAAGAAAATGCTTTCATCATCATTCAACACTTTCACCACACTCACACAATCACTGTTTTTGCAGAGGTGCTCAGAATACAACAGTTTAGAAGCATATACGTATAAAGATACACAACATATCCCTCCAAACTGCCAATATCCCAAACCCCTCCTTTAAAGTGCAGGCATTGTACTTCCCATTTCCAGGACTCAAGTCCGACTATGAAAATAACCGGTTTCCCTGAATCCCTTCACTAAATATTACCCTGCTCACACTCCAACAGATCGTCAGGTCCCAAGTACCATTCGTCTCCATTCACTCCTATCTAACACGCTCATGCACACTTGCTGGAAGTCCAAGCCCCTTGCCCACAAAACCTCCTTAAACCCTCTCTCCAACCCTTTCGAGGACGACCCCTACCTTGTCTTCCTTCCCCTATAGATTTATATGCTTTCCATGTCATTCTACTTTGATCCATTCTCTCTAAATGACCAAACCACCTCAACAAACCCTCTTCTGCCCTCTGACTAATACTTTTATGAACTCCACACCTTTTCCTAATTTCCACACTCCGAATTTTCTGCATAATATTTACATCACACATTGCCCTTAGACAGGACATCTCCACTGCCTCCAACCGTCTCCTCGCTGCTGCATTTACCACCCAAGCTTCACACCCATATAAGTGTGTTGGTACTACTATACTTTCATACATTCCCTTCTTTGCCTCCATAGATAATGTTTTTTGACTCCACATATACCTCGATGCACCACTCGCCTTTTTTCCCTCATCAATTCTATGATTAACCTCATCCTTCATAAATCCATCCGCCGACACGTCAACTCCCAGGTATCTGAAAACATTCACTTCTTCCATACTCCTCCTCCCCAATTTGATATCCAATTTCTCTTTATCTAAATCATTTGATACCCTCATCACCTTACACTTTTCTATGTTCATTGTCAACTTTCTACCTTTACACACATTCCCAAACTCATCCACTAACCTTTGCAATTTTTCTTTAGAATCTCCCATAAGCACAGTATCAGCAAAAAGTAACTTAATTCCCATTTTGAATTTGATTCCCCATAATTTAATCCCACCCCTCTCCCAAACACCCTAGCATTTACTTTTTACAACCCCATCTATAAATATATTAAACAACCATGGTGACATTACACATCCCTGTCTAAGACCTACTTTTACCGGGAAGTAGTCTCCCTCTCTTCTACACGCCCTAACCTGAGCCTCACTATCCTCATAAAAATTCTTTACAGCATTTAGTAACTTACCACCTATTCCATATACTTGCAACATCTGCCACATTGCTCCCCTATCCACTATAATATGCCTTTTCTAAATCCATAAATGCAATAAAAACTTCCCTACCTTTATCTAAATACTGTTCACATATATGCTTCAATGTAAACACTATCTACACATCCCCTACCCACTCTGAAACCTCCTTGCTCATCCGCAATCCTACATTCTGTCTTACCTCTAATTCTTTCAATTATAACCCTACCATACACTTTTCCTGGTATACTCAATAAACTTATTCCTCTATAATTTTTACAATCTCTTTTGTCCCCTTTCCCTTTATATAAAGGGACTATACATGCTCTCCACCAATCCCTAGGTACCTTCCCCCTCTTTCATACATTTATTAAACAAAAGTACCAACCACTCCAACACTATCCCCCCCTCCTTTTAACATTTCTGTCATGATCCCATCAGTTCCAGCTGCTTTACCCCCTTTCATTCTACGTAATGCCTCACGTACCTCCCCCACACTTACATTCTGCTCTTCTTCACTCCTAAAAGATGGTATACCTCCCTGACCAGTGCATGAAATTACCACCTCCCTTTCTTCCTCAACATTTAAAAGTTCCTCAAAATATTCTCGCCATCTACCTAATACCTCCCTCTCCCCATCTACTAACTCCCCTACTCTGTTTTTAACTGAAATCCATACTTTCCCTAGGCTTTCTTAACTTGTTTAACTCACTCCAAAAATTTTTCTTATTTTCATTAAAATTTCTTGAGTGCCTCTCCCACTATCATCTGCTCTCCTTTTGCACTCTCACCACTCTCTTTACCTTTCTTTTACTGTCCATATACTCAGCTTTTCTTATAACACTTCTGCTTTGTAAAAACCTCTCATAAGCTAACTTTCTCTCTTTTATCACACCCTTTACTTCATCATTCCACCAATCACTCCTCTTTCCACCTGCCCCCACCCTCCTATAACCACAAACTTCTGCCCCACATTCTAATACTGCATTTTTAAAACTATTCCAACTCTCTTCAACCCCCCCCCCCTACTCATCTTTGCACTAGCCCACCTTTCTGCCAACAGTCACTTATATCTCCCCCAAACTTCC